TTTCACCAAAGGAGTTAGCAGGGTTGTTGAATGTATAGCGTAGGTAGTGGAAACAATTTATTTGAAAAACTGTGACAGAGTATTGCTTGGGAACCTGCTAAGGTTTGCTGGGAGCTACTAAATTTGTAATTCTGGAAGTCTGGTAGATTGGTTTAAATGGTTTGCAGTGCCAGCTCGCTCAGTTTTTCTATTCTTGGTTCCCTTCATCATATGAATACTAGTTCTTGTATAGTGCCTATTTAATGTTTGCGAGTTCTGTTTTTGGTTTAATATGAATAAGTCCAACTCCTCGTATGTCTGATTTTTTTTTTTGTGCGTCTTTGAAAGTTTTATATTGAATCAATTAAATGTTCGCTAATTAAGTTCAGCTCTGAATGTACTACAATGCCAGGAATGTTAGGTAAAAGTTCTTATTATTTTTATTGTATGCTCTGTGCAGGTGGGTACTCCAATTTGTATTCCTCAAAGGGATTTTATTTCTATTGGGCGCATTGCATCCATTGAAAATAACCACAAACCTGTTGATACGGCGAAGAAGGGGTCGAAGTTAGCCATTAAGGTATGAATGTGTGATAAGTATTGACATACAAATATATGTGCTAGTTTTGTTGTCGGGATTGGCTTGTCATTGCAGTTGTGGAGTGGTCTTGCTTTTAGTTTGTCTTTTGTTTTTTTTGTTTTTTTTCATGTTCTGGCCGATCATTTTGTAATACCGTTTGGTCTTCTTGGCTTTTCCTGTTTTCTAGCCGATCATGTAGTTCGTTTGCGTTTCATCTGTTTTTTCTCTTACCCTTTCTCCAACTTATACTTTTAAATAGTGAAATGAAACTTTTACACTTGTCCTCGTGCTTATTGCAGCTTTTTTCTTGCGTTTTTGCAGATTATTGGGTCAAATTCGGAAGAGCAGCAAAAGATGTTTGGTAGGCATTTTGAAATTGATGACGAACTTGTCAGCCAAATCTCAAGGAATTCGATTGACGTACTTAAAGCGAATTACCGGGTAAGATTTATTTTGTTGTACAGTTTACTTCCGGACAATGTGAACCATCGTTATGAACTGTAATTCAAATATGCAGGATGAACTATCAATGGAGGAGTGGAAGCTGCTCGTGAAATTGAAGAAACTTTTCGAGATACCGTGAGAAGAGCTAATGCATGTTGAGGAAATTCTTTCGTAACACAACACTCGAGAGGCTGTAACGACTTCAGCGGCAAGCAGAAACGATACCAAGGTTCCTTGCGGTTCTATTTTTGATCGTAAGCGGCGCACAAATAAGTTTCGGCACTCAAATTCAAGTGCGATCGTATGTGTAGGGGGAGAAAAAGTTCCGGTTTGCATCTTCAGGAGGTCCTTTATCCAAGAGAGTGCATTGCATTTTTTGTCCATGCAGTGTCGGATCCAAGTCGATATTGATGGAAGAAAACAGCTTTGTTTAGTCCTTTTGGAAACCTGTTGAGCCAGCGTTGAACGGGAATGATCTGAAATTCGACATTAAAGTTGTACGGTTGTTGGCATGAGTATATGTTATCGTTGTTCTCCCGACGGACACGGTATAGTACCATATATTTCAAGGATACCTCAAATAGAAATTAACGTCTCTTGGTGGCTTCATCTGTTTTTCCATGGTTTGAACCTTATATGTTTTCTCCTCATTTTTCTGCACACGAATGACCACATGACCATCTTATGGACTTTTCTGACCGAAAAGTACCCAAAGTTAGGTGTGATTTTTCATTTTCCAGAATTTGAATATATATGTTCGACCGAATCAAGGAGGGTTGGAACAAAAGAAACTGGTGTCATAATATGTTTTTACTATAGGGTGAGACGGAAAATATTGGTATTGAATTTGTCATCAATGAGATTCAAATTTAAAACTTTTCATGTACAAGTGAACAAAAATATCATTGGATTGTAACTCTAAATGGTATATGTTCTGTACTTCGATTCTAAAGTTGTCAAAGTTTTTCCGCTACCAAATCGCAGTTGGTGTTTTTAATTGTGTTTTTGAATATTTGAGTGAATACCAAGTAGAAATTTTGGGAATTGGTTCTATAATTTCAAGTATCTCAGGGCATGCAAAACGAGAATTATAATGTGGAAGTGACCAAAACGCCCTTTCGATCAATCAGAGGTCAAATTTATGCCGCAAAACGTTGACTTAATTTGGTGTTATAGGATGATTCGGGGACGTTGATTGGATAATCAATCGTTAGTTTCTTGTGAGCCTTGGTAGGGTTTTGGAAATCATGCGTTAAAAGTTGCAAATAATAGACCACCCATTAACTCACTAATTTTAAACAAATATTTTAATAAGATTCTATACCACTTACGCATGCTTAGAGGTGTCAAACGGGCCGGTCCCACCATACGCATGCTTAGAGGTGTCAAACAGGCCGGCCCACCATTGCCCATATAAAATCGGTTCACATAGACTTGGGCCGTGCTTGGGCCGACCCCCTTAATAAACAAATCGTGCTTGGATTGATTCACTTAATAAAACATTAAGTCCAATTCAGCTAGTAGTCCTAACCCATTAATATCGAGACTGTCTTGGGCTAGATTAGTAGAACGTGGCGGACTTCAATAAAACAAACTTTAATTATTTTAGAATTATAAAAAAAACAAAAAACAAAAACCTTTTTTGAACATGTTATTAAGCTACATATCATTAGTATTGTCTTACTAACCTTAAAACGTATGTTCATAGGTGAAAAATAATGAATAAATGAGCTTATTCATATAAACCTTAGGCCCGGTCTGCTCGCATCTTCCAAATCATGCCATGCCTTGCCTTACCTTACTTAAATAGGCCTAAATCTTTGGTTACAACCATGTCAACATAATTTTCAAATAATTAATACCTTGAATTTCAAAGTTATTCACATGTGGTTCTCCTTTGTTTATCGGTGTTCTCATTTGCAACCACCTGCAAACTTGTTCGATTATTATAATATCTTCCCCTTAAATACTTAACTCTAATGGGGCAGTTATGAAGAACAAAGGAATTGGAGATTTTTTTTTTTTAAAAAAAAAAAAAACCTAAGTCGGATATAGAGCAGTGGTGATATTATTATTTTTGATCCAAACCTGACCCGATTATATACGTATATTAAATTATTAATATAATTTTTATGATTTAGATTTGTCAGTCCTATTTTTTGGTCTTGTAGACTTTATGTTTGGTTCAGAATCGTCTTAAACAAATAACATGGCGAAGATATTATAGTCTTATGATACTTATATTCCGAGTAAATTTGAGAAAATGTTCCTTAACTTTGATTGAATTGTAGCTTTAATCCTTGAACTAAAATTTCATTAGTTTTAGTCCTTCAACTTGACAAAATGTGAAGCATTAGTCCTTGGGTACTAACACCGTGATATTTTCTATTACTATGATGATGTGGTCTTTGTGTGCTCCACATTTTTGTTGATGTGGGTGCCATGTGGGCTAAAAAATTTATAAAAAAAATACAAACACAGAGAAAGGAAAAAGAAATTACATAAAATAAAAATGGATTAACCTTCTCTTTTCCATCTTCCTTCCGCCCACCTCCTTCTCTAAACCCAGTGGCCATTGTAGCACTCTCCCAACAACCAAACCATAGAAAAGTTCAAATCTAAATTTGGAACACAATCTTCCTTTCCAAACGACTTCACACAATGACCTCCATCCTTGCAGCACCTTAGTCCACGCTGCCTTGACAACTCAATCTCTATTTTGCACCACCTACAATCGAAACCCTCGCAGCCCATAGATCGGAACTTTGTGGGTTACGGATTGGGGATCGGCTGGGTTGTGGGGATGTTAGACTAAATGTATAATTATGGAGAATAATCCGAATGATGACTTTAAGGTACGACTTGAATCGTTTCCTTAAAGTATTATTTGCCTCCACTCGAATGAGTTTGCTAAAGGGTTTCTTGGCAAGTCACTTCCAGGATACAACAAAGTATGTAATATTCGATTAGCAAAACCGAATTGTATTCCCTTAGAAATAACTAGAAAGAAATTGTATGAATGTAATGGAGAGAGAAGAGAGAGCAAAGAAATTATGTAGACAACAAATTTCTAAATAAATCTTCTCTTATGCTAATGTTACCGATATATATATAGAGAATTGCACCTTTTAAACATATCTGAACATTGCAACAATATTTCTAATGGATATATCTGATACAAGAGGCGTAAAGGAATGCATATGTACGGGATGCATTATGTCCTTTAGCCAACAGAAATAAAAGTGCAGTGTTTCATATCAAAAGGTGTGATTATTGGGTCGAATCCCATCCCGTCAAACAGCTGCATATATATATATATATATATATGTTACATTATATTATATTCTTAAAATATTCAACAGGGGATTGGGGGATGAAGATGGAAGGTAGGCTGGGGAGTTGGTCAAAGACTCAAAGGTGAAGGGGTGGACTGCAAGAGTTGGTGAAGTGCGGGCGGGTCTCTAGAATTTTTTTTTAAAATTTTTTCTTTCCTAATTTTTGTTTTTTAATATTTCTAATCCAGGTAGCACTGAATTATTTAAGTGTGGGGCCCATAAACCTGCCACACAGGCACTCTAAGGGAAAATCTAACAAAATTGTGATAGAGGAACAATGCCCCCCATTTTATCAAGTTTAGGGATCAAATTTAATGGATTGTTAGTTTAGGGACTAAAACTACAATTCAACCATAGTTCAAGGATCATTCCTCCAATTTACTCCTTATATTCTCAATGTTATAGAATTGTTTCAAACTCAAATTTTCGCTCACATACATGGAGCCAAATTAAGATGCTATCAATTAACTTATACTTAATACTTTTTTTTAATATTAATAATGTATACAGATGTGATTTATTTACACCATCTTTATGTACATCTTTACTTTTTATCTTCATTAAATTAAATAAATTAAAAATATACGTTTCATTTCTTTAAGAAGTAAGGTGTACGAAATAGCCAGATGCATGAGAAGTAAAGTGCAAGTAATTACTTCTTATACTACTAATATGCATTTCATTACTTTAAGAAGTTACACCAAGAAAATTAGCAACTTAACTCACTCCCTATGCACATCTTGTCATCTTTCATATTACACAAAACCCAACAGTAAAAAAAAAAAAAATAAGAACAGAAAAAAAAAAAATAACGAAAAATCTTGCAACACAATATTAATGGGCGTTAGATCAAAGGGTCTCACAGCCCACTTGAGCCAATCAACTTTGTTAACCCAAAGGTAATCGCCATGGCCATCCAACCTCCAACCAGAACCCTCATCACTGATCTCATAACTGGTGCCTTCCCCAACTTTGCTCCCAACAACCCAAACACCACCAAAGCCAAGCTCACAGCCGCGGCCACAACTCCCAACCTCACCTTGTACCCCCTTATAAACGACGCCGCTAGCAATGGAACCATTGCTCCCACTGAAAACGCCAGTGCTGATGCAGCTGCTGCTTGTAAAGGGTTGGGCAGGCTCTCCTTATCATCTCCATCTCCACCATCATCTTCTGCCACGTGAACTTCTTGGTTATTTTTCTTGTTCTGATTGTCTCTTTTCATTTGAGCCACCTCTATGTCCAGCTGGGAGTACACGGAGACAAACTCTCCAATGGCCATGCTACATGCTCCGGCTACTAGTCCGGCAAACCCGGTTAGTATCATGGCCTTAATGTCTTGTCTCACAGCTCCGACTCCCATCATCAATGACGCAGTTGAGATTAATCCGTCGTTGGCGCCTAGAACCGCAGCGCGGAGCCATTGGGAGCGTTTGGAGTAGTCAAACTCCGTTTTGTCTAGGGTTGTTTGGTGCTCGAGGTCGTTTGGGGTGATTATGATGGCACACTTGCCTTCAGCTAGGGAAGTCTGGCTGTTTGGAGCCATGGAAAAAGTAACGAGAAAAATGGATAATGAGGAATTAGGGTTTATGTGTGTACTGTGGATTGAGGAAGAGAGTAGAGAGAAATTGAAGAAGTGTGGAGGACACACGCTCACAACAAGGGTATTTATGGAGGGAGAGGTTCAATCATGGAGGCAAAGGTGGGGTACACTAAATGGAACAAAGCAAAGTGTGTTTACCTAGTGCCATTGCTTTTTTAAAAAAAAAATTTATATGAGATACCGCTATCATATTCTTTGCTTATTTAACATAGAATGTTATGAAAACGCTGATATCGAGTGTGTATGTGTGTACATATATATATATATATATATATTATGTATAAGATACCACTATCATATTCTTTACTTATTTTACATAGAATGTTATGAAAACACTGATATAGTCTGCAGGTTTAGGAATAAATAAAATAAGAAGATGAACAAAGAATTGACTAATTGGTCTGGTGACTTACATTGCATACCGTAGTTTGGTACAATAAATTCATATATCCATTAATTCAGTATTTAAAATAACGTCCTTTTTTAAATTTTGTAGCCAAGGGGAACAAAAAATTTTAGAAAGAAAATATAATTTAAAAGCAGATGGGATGTAAAATACTTTGTCCTATAACACAAGTTATCCAGTATAATGCTTAAACTTTTGATGGTGCGCATCCTAGCTAGTAGATGTTTATCACCCTACATTTATATGAATGCATGTTCCATTCTTCGTAGCATGAAAAGAGCAAAGTACATATATGTTGGAGAATATGATTTCACATCCGTTTTATGACAAGATAATGTACAATTAAGTTGAAACAATATTGATGATTTTGTGTTGTACCTATTTTAATTGTAAAATGTACCAATTTTTTGAACACTATGGATACATTTTTTTTACCATTTATTATTTCTTATTTTTACATAGTTTTTATCCATTTATTAAATCAAAATGTTTGAATTTTTTTATTGTAACCGTTTCTAATAGTATTATAATGAGGGATTTTAAATTTATAGGATTATAAATCTCATAAAATATCAAACAATTAATGTCAAAACTATAAAACTATAAATATTAGTAGTAATATAATGAGGTGTACAAAGTCAAAGGACTTTGATCAAACTTTGAATACTATTAATGTTTTAATCAAAGAATGTTAAAGATTGGGACTACATTCAAAGTATCCCTTATTAATACAATATATACTCCAAAAAGAAAATAAGATGATAAGCACAATTGTAATAATTAGATCGACTTATAACATGGATGATTGCATACTATTGAAAGCAAATAAAATTAAGATTAATTACTATACATGCATGCATGCATGATCTTGAAGCTTGATCTCGACCAACTTGCCTCTGACCCAATTGTACGAATAAGCTTCAACTTAATATCTGAGCTTAATAAGGAAAATTGGCGATTAGAGCTAACAGTAGAACGTAATCAGCATATCGAGAGAGATTAGTGACGAGGAAGAAGAATAGTACAAAGAACAAACAACTTTATGAACATCAAATTTAAGAGGAAACGTAAGACTTCCAAGGCTGTTACACCGGAAACAAGTCCATAAGCAAAACGTGACACTATCAAACAAAGACAAAAAGAGGCAACACAAATCCTGCGTAACCTTTTTTTAACAAATATGAAAACGGAAGCAATAATTCAAGGCTTTCCCTTCCCTTTGTATCTTTTTCTACTTCTTTCGGTTGTGCTACATTTATTTATTTATTTTGGTTAGGTAGCTTCTTTTGGTGTAACTTTGCACTTCCATGGCGTGCATAAGCACAACTACGTATACCTTCTAGTAAGTAGTAATTGACATCTGATTGGTTTTGAAGTATAGCTAGCCAGACCTAAAATTCCGAAGACATCAAATATTTGGTAGGATTTGCATATGTAAGCTCATAAATAGATGCTGCAGTGCCAACAAGAAAAAAGAAGCTCCAATCTGTAACTAAATATGTTTGGACACGCGTATGAAGCAAATGAATGTGAACTAAAGTGTAATGTCTTCAAAGTAAACTGTTTGAAAGATTTGATATGATAATCGATCATGAATCTCCTTTGAGCTGCCATACGGATGCCAAAGTAATCGGAATCATCAAGATGCAAGTTCTCTATCAATCCTTTTAAGTGGGAATTCTTTGAATCAATTATTTAGTACTATTTCTGTTCATGACGTTGCTAGCTGTAACTCTTGGGGCCGGTTTTCAGCTTAAATACCAAGTACGAGGGTTTGGACCTTCGTATATCTTTTACATCAAAACCTACTAAATTTTGATAAATATAAACCTACTAAATAGATCAACAATGGATTGCTGAGCAAGAAAGCACCGAGTGTGGAAAAGAAAGAGTGGGGATTAGATAACATAACAAAAAGGAAGGGAGTGTGCATTCCATGCGAATGCCACCACCATCTTGATTTTATATTCACTAAAAAAACGAATTAGGGTTTCCTTATCCCATCCCCCTTTCTTTTTCAGCGTCCAACACACTCCCACTCAAATCACTAATTGGTTTTTTTGCCCTCTAATTGGAGCAATAAATTAAAAATAACTTTTGTGTACGGCTAAATGTCTGGCAGATGGAATGTGTTTGTCGTGTTCGTATTATTTTTGTATCATACCTGTTATCTTTATGGGTCGTGTTGTGTCAAACTCGTTTTCTTAATAGGTGACCCAATAATGATCTGATTCGTTAACGAGTCGTGTCGTTTCGTGTCAGGTTAACGAGTCATATAAGAAATTGTCATGTCTAACGTCTAGAAACTAACAAACGATATCTTATCGGACACTTAACGGGTAACCCGATAACGACCTGATTCGTTAAAGGCCCAATAATAACCCGACTCGTTAATGAATTGACCTGAAGCTTGTTGTTTTCATAACGTTTCATGTCCGATTAATGGGTTGTGCAAGCAATTGGCAGCCATAAGCTAAACATACCAAATAAACTTTCGAAAATATGTGCATATTATTTCAATTTTGTTAGTGGACCCCCCAATTGTTTTGTGTACTTGAAGCCAAAATCTCCCCGATGGCCAAGCTACAACTTTGGATATTATGTTGCAGAAAAGTATGGTTTCCAAAGAATGGGTGGATCAGATGAAGATATTTTTTTTTTTCTTTCAAAATTTGACATTTCAAATCCTGTGTTGTTTGATATATGAATAGATTTTGGGTCAGTTTGGGATTATTGTGCTTTTTAAAATAATTATTTCTGTTGTACTTTAAGAATAATCGGTTGCAAAATAAAGCAATTAAGCGTATGACAAATTGTATTTTTAAAGGTATGGTGAGTATGAAAAGTAGTTTAAAAGCGTTTGGTAAATTTTAATGGAAAAGTAATATAATTGTATATAATGAAAAAAATGGACATGATAGTGTGGGCGATGACGATAACAACGGTAGCGAGGGAAGTGGTTGTGGTGTTGCCAATAAAAGGGGTGCAGTCGTTGGGCTGCATAGGTAACAATGGTGGTAGCGGCAGCGAAAACAAATGATGGTGGCGGTTGTGGTGGCAGTGATGACAGTTGGGATTATGGGGATGGTGGTGGTGGTGGTGGCGGCAACGATGGTAGTGGTAGTTGTGGTTGTGGTGGTAGTGGTGGCGTGATTGTGGTGTGTTCGTGATGGCAACAATGGTGGTGGTAATGACAATGGTGGTGTAAGAGGATAGCATTTGTAGTATAAATAAAATGTGTCTAAAAGGATAAATAATGTCATTTTGAAAAATTAATGAGTGTGTTACAGGAATTAAAAATATTCATTAAAGACTCAACTCCACTTATTTTTAAAGTAACTTTTAAATGTAACATACATGCTGCTTTAAAAAGCTGTTGTCTAGGGGTTCACACCATCAACATTACTGATATTGTTCTCAACTTAATAACATATTGCAAAAATCCATTGTGATATTAGTAGTGAACCTCTCACATTTAAAATATATATGTTTTATATCCGATGTGGACTATTCTCCAGCGATGAAGTCATTTACATTCACTATCACTACTAGAAACCTTTAAGCCTCATTTATTGTCTAGATTTAATTTGAATATGATAACTCACTATATTTAGTGAATGCTAAATAAAAAAGGATAATGTTTGCATCCCCCTTGGGAGAATACGCAATTCTGGAAAGGCTTTAGGTGTGTAGGCTGGTTGCTTGGGTGTCTTAATGAGTGTTGAGTGTTAACTTGACTTCATAACTCCATGCACAAAATTATTTGTATGGTAATTCATCAATTAGACAAAAGCCACTTCGGTTCGGCCTGTATGTGAATCCGTCCTTGGTTATTTCTAGATCATAATACCATTATCATATGCACTTGTCATATTGTATGATGTAGTAATATATTATCCACTCATGGTAAAATCTGGTGGGATGCACACAAAAATTTCTCCTAAAACCTCTTTGAGAGTTACATGCAAGGGTCGCGCACTACGCTCTAATAATTTCTTCCGTTTTAGGTGCATTATCGTAGTATTAGTGGTTCGTGTGGTGCCCGATTTGAATATCGGTTGACTGAATTGGTGTTGCATGTGGAACACGTAACGGTGGATTGAGATAGCATATTGCAATATTTGTTGGCCGAAAAGAAAGCCAACCCAAGTCTTTTCGTCTTTTTAGGGTAGTGCTATCTGCCTATTATATTTACTCTCACACATCATTCTTAATTTTTGATTATCGGATCGAATGAATCGAAGAAGATTAATGACAAAAAATTAATAAGATTATATAAAAGGTAAAATTGAGTGTGTAAATAACACTTTCTTTTTGTTATTGCCCCAATTATGTACTAGTGTGAGTTTGCTGTACGGGGTGGGGATATACGTTTGCTTCGACATGGAACTACTGTGATGGTGCGTGGTGTTTGTTGGATTGGCCCTGACATATCCATATCAAGTTGAGTTGGATTCCATTGGAATACACGTAGATAGGGAAGAGGGGAGGAGAGAGGAGTGTTTTCGTGTCGTAAACCTTTAAATTAATTATTATGGTCCATGGTGCTAACTACATTGAAGAAGTAACAATCACAAAAACCAGGAGATGGAAGTTTTACAGATAGAAGAGAAATGTGAGAGAAGAATTAGAGAGCCAG